TATGAGCAGTTGCGTTGATGTCTTGGGTTAATGTTGATGTTAAATCTTTAAACCTGACGCCAAATAATTGTATCATTTTCCCACATCGAAGCCAGCACCATGTGTTGAGGTGAGATGCTTCATGTTTGATTATCATATGAATATTCAAAAGCCATGTAATGGAAAATTTATTGAGCATCATCAGAAAAAAGGCATATCAGGTGAAATCATGTCGGGTCAGGTTGGGCACAAGACTAACACAAGGCCGAGAACTTGCGGCATTTTAATTTGTGTGAAACAGTCTCCAACATCACAAAGCAGTTGCATCGCGTTAAAATCTTGAAAATCATCAGATGAGCCTGCACATCAGCTTTCACATCAACCTTCACATCGCAATCAACCTTCACATCATCAGGTCAGGCGAGGTCAAATGGTTCCTCAATAATCTTGCAAAACATCTCCCAAAGATCCTTAAAGCCTTTTTGGGCCCTGACAGTTATGCCGGGATATGACTGCCAACATTAAGTCCGAGGTGACATTAGCAGGGCGGACAGCGCAGTGAAATAAGATGTCAGTGCACGCCCTGTTGTGGAAATCTCTCGCAATGACATTATGGCACCCTGGTGTTACATAACCTGGACATTGTGTCGTCCAAATGCGCCAGTTTTTACTCGGAATATCGGCCAAATCTGGATGCAATCCTAAAAGCAGCATGACAGCCGGGTAATAGTTTAAGCTACGCCGCAATTGCCCACTATGCTTTGGACGAATGCAGGATTTCACGTTGTCACCCTGCTAAGTGCTGTCATCTAGCGCGGGCTATCTTACGCTGCCATCTGTATTGCACGTCGTTCTGTGCTGCCGCCTATAGTGTCTGGGGAGAAGGAAGACCTCTTTTGGATGAATTTTACGTGATTTATTTGAAGGCTAATAGCTGTTTATCTACTTAAAAGGACAAAAAGACAAGGCACTGACGTGATGGCATACGCCCGCTTATAATCTGTCCATCTTTATCCTACACCATCGCGACGCCTCTGTTGTCCGGGGCAGGCTGCATGCGCCAGCGAAGGGTGTGACGAAGTGTCGTTTGGTGGGGTCTCCGTCCGAGCTCCGAGCACACATCCCAGAGGGACGCTCTGTCCAGAGAGCACACGCCCCAGGGGTTCCTGTGCGGGCAGAGCCTCCAAAACCAACATAACCAATGCGCGTTGGCAGGTTCGATTGTGCCCAGATCGGGCCGCTTCAGCCTCACGGAGCCCCTGTCGTAGGGCAATTTCATGATGATGTTCCGAAGGCTCGCTGTAAGACGAGGAGTGTCAGCCGCCGTCTGTTTAGAAAACGACCTCACGTTCAGAGGCGCAGGCACACATTCCAAGGCGCGCATTTCAAATGCGCGCGGTTACAGCGTTATTTTGGACGTCTGGCTCTTGCTTCGAAATTCATCGTTCCCCTGTCTCCATGGTGGGGAGGGTGGTGGGACCGCTTGGTGCGCCAGGGGGAGGTGGTGCCCTGAAAGCACATGAGCCCGCCTGAGGAAATCTGAACTCGAGACGGTGATGGGTAAGGTGGGGGATTTTGTACATTTTTATATTTCTTAAAGATTTTTTTCGTAGATTTTGTAGATTTTGTAGACTTCCGCGGACTTTGTAGTAAGTGGAGACCAAATGAAGTCCTGCCCACCGGTTTTTTTTTCATTCTCCTTCACCGCTTTGTCATGAAATCACCATGCCTGGCCGAGATAAAGGGCTCTAAACGAAATAACCACGTAAAAAGTGTGTTGATAGGTTCGATCACGTCCGAAGATTTAGATCGTTGTGGCGCATCGTGCCTGAGGCTGCAGCAACAGGGTTTTTCTTGTTAAGTTTGTCTTTAACACAGTTTCCTTCCTTCGATAGCTGCGGGATATTTCATAATTTTGTTTGTTTCCTGTTATTTTCCAAAATTGCGAATTTATTCAGGACGGCATACATGCAGCGCATTGTCAACTTTTCAGTGTCGAGATCGAGGAGCTCTCAGTTGGATACCTTAAGAAAGCATGAATGCCGCAATGTTGCAAAAGCTCGTAAGAGGTGCATAACGATGCGGATGTGCCGGCGTCTCCTGGATGGTAACCGGACGAAACCGGTATGTGCCGGTAACCGGACGAAACGTCAAAAGCCATGAAGTTGAAGAGCAAAGAGTCAAAGGTGTAAAAGTGAATTGGCAAAGAACCAAAAGGGAAAACCAAAATGCATGAAAGTTGAAGGGGATAACAATGAAAAGCATTAATGTAATAAAGGTACCAAGTCAAAACAATCAAGAGTGAGAGTGATTACCATCAAATCGATAAAAGTCAGAGCAATGAAATGTGAGGGTGACGAACGTGAAAACGATAAAAGACGACTGTAACAGTTTGAACAAGCAACCAGTCAAACAGAATAGAAGTGAAATGAAAACCAGGCAAAAGGGGGACATCAAAAGGAAAAGGGAGAAAAGCAACTCAAGAGAATACAAGTCAAATGGAAAAAGTTGGCTAAACAAAGTGTAAAGATGTATTAAAATGAAGCAGGTTCTGGGTTGCTGAAATACCTACAGCTGGGAGCCTTGCTGTGACGTCAGACCATGCTGCAGCATAGCTGTCATGCAGGTCAGTTGAGAACATTCCCTCACATTGCACAGGAGCTTTTTTGGCAGCAAGCTTATTCCTGGCTGCCTTCAAAAATGGAATTGGCGCGTGTTGCAGCAAAATCCTATGAATCTATCGCCGGGCAGCCTTTAAAAGTGAAACCGGGACGCTTTTCAGCTAACCTTACGAATCTATCGCACATGACATCTCAGCAGCCCCTCTACTTTCCTCCGCAAAACAAAAAAAAAACTGCACAAAAAGGAGTTAGGGGCCGGCAGTAAACTATTCAACCAGTGTCATGGACCGGATCTGTCTCCTCGTCACTCAATGTGGCGCAGCGTCCGGCAGTGTTGCGTCCGCTCTTTCGCCTCGGCCTGCGGCGGAAAAGCCACTGGACTGGATCGGGGTTGGATGTTGCATTGCGCCATGGGTCACACATCTTGTGTCTCTTCAAAGCGACACCTCATTTACCACTTTTGAGAAATTTGTTTCGCGTTTTGCCGGACTGTGAGTACAGATGTGTAGAATCTTTAGTTGGCAACAGCTGCCAGCTCCAGAACCTGCCGCGGATTCTGCACACGGTATTGAAATCGGCAGGTTATTTCTGAGTGATTCCGAATTTGTCCGGTATTCGTACCTGTCATCCCAAACCCTATGCGTGTATATCATGTGCAGCTTGAGAGCCGCATAAAATTCACAGTTAACTTCCGCGCAGTAAATCACTCGCACACATTTCAACCCCCACGATTCTTTTATGCCTGATTTTCCCCAGTACTTTGAGATGTTTTTACGTCGCACACACGTGCGACTGGACTTCTGCTGCCCCGCAAGGCCTGGCCAATGCGTACTTCACGAGGCTTAGAACGAGCCATCGAATTAAAAATTGCTTAGCACGAGCCATTAGAACCACCCAAACCTTCCTGCAGTGACTCGCGCAGCTGATTTGTACGTGCAGCGTGCTGATTTCATACCTCTAAGGTGCACTGAGTGCAGCGTCATGCAGTGTTCATTATTCCATGCCACGTACGACGCGCAACTTTGGCTGTGCTCCGACAGCGGTCTACATCCTTCGCAACAAGACGATTTCAGAGACGCTGGCATGTTGCGTAGTTTCAGCTATCTTGTTGCGGGGACGCGAATTTCTTTAGATTGGGTAAGATGTTTAGACCAAAACAAAATATGTCATATCACTTGAGAGCAGAAGTGCTTTTACATGGCCTGCAGCAACAATCCAAAATTTCAAAACTTTGAAAGCAGAGCGCTCTTTTCAGGACGAAAAATCTTCACAGCGTTGTTAGTCTACCTCATTATTGCGTTTTCCACAGATGTCCACCATCCATACGTAGGGTCCGTGTACGGCGACTAATCGCGTCACGGTGGCGATAGGCGAACGGATCTGCCGTGTCAGGTGACCGTGCTCAACGACAGCGGATGAATGGTGCACCCTGGCCGGATCACATTGCAACGAGGCTATTCACGCCAGAAACAACAGCGGAAAGACACGTTGAGTGGCATGTCTCCCCCGCATTTTTGCATCTCACCTTGACCATAACAATCGGAAAAACAATTTCGTGCCTACTGTTGATGCTAGTTGTTTTAGAAATCCATGACATCATGCTGCGCGCTTAACGCGATGTATATAGCGCTAACAAAAGCCACAGGAAAAGATGGGCATTTTTGCAAATTGGCCCCTAAACCGGGATTATGACTTTGCTCGTACCGACTGGCATGGCAGACCGATGAAAGGAGGTAGCACATGACAACAGTAAACACTTCCGAGGACGTGAACGGCTACCTACTGCATTATTTCACATTAGGTTTGGAAGCTACAAAACCTGCGTACGACTGCCAAGCGCGGAGAATGCTCAAAATTTGGCGAGATGAAGCACACCATGAACAATCGACACAGGTATACACGTTATACGCTCGAGTTGCTGAGAAAAATGGGATCTTACACTCTTTCCACACACGTTCTACCATGGTAGACACATGCACGTTAGCTTGGGCGATAAACACGGCCGTAGGGAGAGTCCTTACTCTGTACATTCAATCGCAAAGTGGTGATGTGGCAATGAAACCTGCACCATCATGAGCCGGTTCTAAATCCTCTTGGCCATTGATGTGCTGCCAGGAGAAGAACGCGATTTTTCATTGCGATTCATCAACGCGGAACATCGATGGCCTGGATATTGGTGGTGACGCAACGTCATCAAGTGACAACCTAGTTACCGGTTCAGAGTTCTGAAACAGGTTCTGAATCTCTTCCAATGAGAGACCCTTTGTTTCCTTGAGACAAAATGCGACAAACAATATTTGGCATACACTCACCAACATGTGAATGATGAAGCCCCAACCCAGACCAACCCTTTCTTTAATGAGTGGGTACGTTTTCGTTAACAAGAATTCATTGACAAACAGGACAGTGATGACGATGTTTGAGGCCAAGGTGCGCGTCTTGTTGGGCAGCAGCTCTGTGGCGTAGCCGAATGCGACATTGCCGAGCAAGCCAACATGGGCCACCAACGCCAGGGCCGCGCCCGCCAGCACAATCCAGCCGAGACGCTCCTGCGACTCCGCTGCGAGAAAGAAGTACGCGGCGATCGTGGCACAGCCGACGGTGGAGAGCGCGCCGCCCAGACGCAGCACCGGAAGCCGGCCGTATCTCTCTATAATGATACCGCCGGGGATGCAGACAAGCGCGGAGAGCGCGGCCGGGAGCGTGGAGCGCTGATACTCGCTTAGTGGCAGCCGCACAGGCGCCAGCACGAAGGCGGTGATGAGCGTCAGCGTGGCGCCGCCGCACCAGACGTATAACACCATCTGGACGGAGGCCAGCAGCAGAGGGCGCAGCGTGACCCGCTGCCGCAGCAGGGTCCACACGGGCAGTGCGGCGCCGTCTCCACGCCCGTCTTGCAGTGAATCGTGGATAGTGCGCACCTCGGCAGCGGCGTCCACCTGTGCGCCACGGAAAAACCGGATGGACCGCAAGGCTTCCTCCTCCGAGTTACCGCGCGAGAGCAGCCACTTGGCCGAGTTGGGCAGGAAGAGGAGACCGAAGAGACAAAGTGCGGCGGGCACCACACCTACCACGATGAACAGCACCTGCCAGTGCAGCAACGGCGCCACGGCCAGTGCCAGCACCTGGCCCAGGTACACCATGAAGTTCAACAGGGTTGTGAAGAGAGCACGGCGCGTGGGCGGCACAATCTCGGACACGTAGCCACGCACGCTGCCCTCGGACATGCCGAACGCCGCAAACATGACCACCCGGCCGCTAAGTGTCCAGCCGAAGTGGCCGCCGAGGCCGACCGCCAGAGAGCCGAGCGCGTACAGCGGCATGGTGAGCAGCAGCAGGCGCCGCGCGCCCAACACGGGCGCCACCGGTGTGCCCAGCAGGCTGCCCAGCACGGCGCCCAGCGCCGTGGCGGCGATCGACCAGCTGAGCTGGTCGGCGCTGAGGAAGCCGTCGGGATCGTCCGGCACCTCAATGAGGGTGACGCTGTTCATGCCGAAGTTCAGGCCCAAGGCCAGCAGCTGCTGGCCGACGACCACCATGGCCAACACCTGCAAGTGTGAAAACATGCTATGAAGGCTGTTCTTTTCAACCGAGGTGATTTTTATGCTGATATCTGGAAAAGATCAGACGCCGCAGATAAAATAATTTTTGTAGTGACATTCCATCCAGCATGCGCAAACACAAGCGCAACTCCCCAGCGCCATCTAGTCAGGTAAATTTTGACTATCACCTTGACCAGCACGGCTGCACTATTGTGCTCAATTTTGGATGGGATATGCCACCTGGGTACCGTCACCGCGTACAAACGTGCCTCATTCGCTCATCAAACGTGCCCCATGGGGTCATCAAATGTAGCACATTGGTTCATGAAACGCACCCCATTTGTTCATCAAACATACCAAATTGGTTCATGAAACATGTTCAGAGGTCATAGGCGTAGGAACGTTTCAAAAGTGTGGGGGGGGGGGGGCAAGCTCAGGATGTACTTTAGGAACTTTTTCTGGAAAGCAACCCCAATGACTGGGGGAATGATTAGAGGTGAGGGTTGTTGTCGTTCTTTATTCAAATGCCATGGCTGTTTTGCTAAATATGCACCTAGAGCTGTTTCTCGCTGGTGCACAATCTTGCGTGCTCGACTCGTGTATGTCATTCGACAAATAGGGCTGTCCAGCTTCCCAGAATTATTTGTCCAATTGAACATTGTTCTCTTGGGGAGGCTAAACTCTACGCGCGGATAAGCATTTTGGGTCATTGAGGAGGCATCTGCCTACACAGGGTAAATGCCAAAATACCGCCTGGACATAGGTTGGTGAAAATTTTGAAAGCGAATCGATGGCTCACAGTGCGACAAATTTTGTATGCGCCTTCATTTCACTGGCTGATTTTCAAGGGATAAGACTTGTCGCAGCATTTTAGACAGAAGGAAATTCGGAAACTTGAAACCGTCAAAAGCAGTGTGACAAAACCCATACAACTGGAAATTCTTCTTTAAAAATCAAGGCACAAAATGGAGACCCTTCTGTCATATATTCCTTACCTGGGCCCTCCTACCGTCCGCTGTCGGCGGCCACTGCCCTGGGCCGAGTGTCTCCCGCATGACTGACCGCGAACTGATCGTATGGGTGCTTTGTTGCATATTTCCGGATCAGCATTACTGCTAATTGGTTTGTAAAACATATGGAAAAACACCTGCAGCAGCATGTTTTTTTCTGATCTGTCCTCCCTTACACCACAACATCGCAGAAAAAACTTCGGGAAGCTGCCTACGTTAGGTATGCAATGGGCCCCAACGGACATTTTCTTGCCCATCATTCAAGTAGGCGACTTGATCTGCTTTTGTGTATAGGCCGGGGCGAAGCCAGAGCCTTGCCAAGGGGAACACAAGGTTGACAAAAGCCCATCTTATCGTGATCTCCCCCAAAATCCACGGATATAGCTTATTTGATAACAAGTGGCAGGGTTTTCTTCGTTTCATTGCTATTCTTACTTTGCAACCAGGACAGAAAACAGAAGTTAACTTGAGATATATTTTATTTGTATGTTTGTTTGTGTAAATAAAATTTGTTTTATTTTTCTAGCCAATCTTTCGTCCAAATGCCACGGGGTCGGGAGTTATCGGTTGGCTGATTTGGCGTGAAAGGACCAACGTATAAATTCTAGGGCGGGTGGAGCACATGCTCTCTATCGTGCTGATACACACGCTCAAGAATTCACGTTCATCTCTAGTGAGTCGACAATTCGCCTCTAAATCGGCCGGGTTCTCTTTCAACATGTAGTTCCCAGTGTCAGCAAACGGACAAAGAGCAAGCAAAAAGCGTTTTTATTCAATTTACACATGTGCTCCCCAACGTATGGTGCTTTAGCCCTGACTGAAAAGGGCGCCATCTCTCGGAGCATGTGGCTGCTGACTGCCGAGGTGACTGGCGGCGTTCATCCTGGTGCCATTGAGGGCTCGACAAAGCTGCCAGCGCAGGAAAATCAAAATTGAACTGCCTGCTAAAATAAATGAAAATTTATTTTTTGGTCAAGTGACGACGCATTCACGACTTCTTCGGCTTCTTGGCATCAATAGCTATTCGCCGATCACCGAGGATAACAATGAAACAACATTAGCCTCTCACCCACGCTCTCCGCACTTTTTCACGGGCGGTCCTTTGACCAGCTGCTCAGTGACGTCCCCATCATGTACCAATGCAACGTAATGCAGTACCTGCGACACCGTGCCAAGACACCTGGCTCTCACCTGCATGACCAGTCCTCGCTTGCGGCCGCGTGCCCCGCCGGCGGGGGCCGCGTCGGTCATCGCGCCGCGCCCAGTGCTTGGATCGGCACTGGCGGCCGGGCTGCTGGCTCGCATCCAATTGTTGTGGTGGTCAGCAGTCGTCGGGCCGTTCCCACTGTTCCGATGGTCAGCGGTCGTCGGGCCGTTCCCACTGTTCCGACGGTCAGCGGTCGTCGGGCCGTTCCCACTGTTCCGACGGTCAGCGGTCGTCGGGCCGTTCTCACTGCTCCGATGGTCAGCAGTCGTCGGTCCGTTCCCACCGTTCCGACGGTCAGCGGTCGTCTGGCCGTTCCCACTGTTCCGATGGTTAACGGTCGTCGGGCCGTTCCCACTGCTACGATGGTCAGCAGTCGTCGGGCCGTTCCCACTGTTCCGACGGTCAGCGGTCGCCGGGCCGTTCCCACTGCTCCGACGGTCAACGGTCGTCGGTCCGTTCCCACTGTTCCGACGGTCAGCGGTCGTCGGGCCGTTCCCACTGCTCCGATGGTTAGCGGTCGTCGGGCCGGCACCGACGGCGGCCTGACCCGCACCACCGCCGCTGTCACCGCCCTCCTCACGCTCAGGTGCGTCTGCGCTCGTCATGAGATCACCACTGTTTCAAAAAGATGGGCGTCGGGTGACGACGGCGTGCCGGCGCTGCCGGTCCGGCCCCTCTCTGAGGCGTGGCATGGCGGTCGGTCCGGGCCCCTCTCTGAGGCGTAGCTGGCGGCCCGGCTGCCGCTCCGGCGCGCCACTGGTGGCTGGTGCCGGGCGGTGCCGCGCCCTCGTGGCGGGCGGCCATTTTTGTTCCCAGTTTTAGGAAGCTCTAGAACATTTTTTTTTTTTCCCGGATAAGAAGCTTCGAGAACTCTCTATTGGTGATGCCTTGCAGCTCATAATGTCATGGTCGCTTGCCGGCCGTTTGCCACCGGTGGGAAGCAAACTGACGGCGTTTTAATTACGCATGGGGGATCTTGAGACTCTCGGCGTGTTCTATCTCCATCCATGACAAGCTCACACATACCATGATTCCTCGTCAAGTACCCTTGAGTGCCATATGCTGTCTTAAATCTGCGATCTATGGACATATTGAGCAAAAAAGATGATGCAGAATTTGACAAACATCTTGTTGGTGACCAGGCACTACTCGAACCTTTATCTTCACATGAGTTTTTCCAAGCCTCGTCGTTTTAATGCGTTTCATATTCATGCCAGTGGAGGTTGCACCTAACCCACCTCGAACGGTGCAGTTTAATTCATCAATCCACAAGTCCACGCTTCTGATAGGGTTTTTTCATGCGTGCAATACTAGTTATAAAACCTTGTATCTAACACACACATGTCATGCGTGCTATGACAAACAGACATACAGAGAAGATGACCAGTCCTGAATGGCATACAGAGAAGCTCATTCCGGGAACATTGCAAATATTGCACTGCATAATATATATATATATATAATATATATATAATATATATATATATATATATATATATATATGATATATTGGTGATTCCTAAACGAAATCCCAGTCAAAGCCCGGGGAGGCAACTAGAACCGATGCGTCAAAAGCTCGTCACGCTGAGTCAAGCAGTGATTTTTAATTGAAACATGCATCGAGAAAGGATTTCTGCCAAAACATTTCAACATATGTGTATATTAGTATATATATATATATATATATATATATATACCAAAGAGAAAGATATATGTGTATGTGTGTCTGTGTATGTGTGTATGCGTGTGTTGGTGTGTGTGTGTGTGTGGTGTGTGTGTGTGGGGTGTGTGTGTGTGTGTGTGTTTGTTGTGTGGTGTGTGTGTTGTGCGCCTAATGACCTTTTAGGACAAATTGTGCTTTCGCAGCAAGATGCCGAATCCAGATGCTCTGTCGAAATCCCTCCCCACCTTCCTCATACATCGAGGAGCAAACATGTGCTTTCGGTCAAGCTCATTTCCATTACTATCGCATTTGCTTTTCATAACTTGTAGGGGAAAACAGGATGCGCGGTTTGAGAGAGCCTGTCGTCGCTTCTCCCACAGTGCCATCCAAGTACATTGTGAGGGCCATTGGAAAAGCACGCCGCCACTCGCCATAATCTAATACCGGTCGTTTGGTAACATGATTTATTAAGTTCCTGGCTTATCTATGCTATCTATACCACCTGGTTGATATTAGAATACTTATGGCTGCTGCTATTGCTTATCTTGTGACCTCAGCACTGACAAAGTATCGGTTTTGTAGCATGTTGCGTCGCCTCTTTACTTCTCCGGGTTGAATGAAAGCATTCGAAATTGGACAGCCTTTCGTGGACGTCATTTTTGTCATATAGTAAACGACGCATTGTTTCGGACATGTTTGCTTCTGAAACAGCTCACGCTACCTAGCGTCCGTCGGAGCATGCAAGTGTACATTAAGCTTGTTTTGTGTCGGTCTGGGGTTGGATGTTTTGTTGAATTTTGCTTTGCATTCTCGCCACTCTTGCGCGCCATATAGTCGCCGAAGTGTCCATTTTGTTCATCCACCATGCCAGGTACATGGGAGGCTGTTTCCAACCCTGCATGGATTGCGAACGCATTCGCAAAGGAACATCCTGCCGTGGAGGCATCCAAATCGGGGAGGACTGCACTCAGTGGTGACGCGTTCGACTAGGTCCGTTTAGGAATAAGAAAACTACGATTCACCCTGGTATTATGTCGACAGATTCCGACAGAACCAGGAGATCCGGCCTATAACAAAAACGTCAAAAGCTCCATGCAAAGAACCCAGATTCAGCCTT